GCTGCTAACTAAATAAGATAAGCCTTTTTATTGTGACGCGTGCATTTTTCTTGCCGTGAGCTTCCTCTTTTTTAATAATCGTAAAGTAATAAAACCGGATTGATTGAGATATGAAGACTAATTGGTAATTAGCCAATTTATAACGTATGCAGTGTTTTGACCTTAATTTATAAAACGTACTGACAAAGTTGTGATGTTTTTAACGGGAAATTCTTTTCAACCACATTCTACTAGATGGTTGTTTTTTTCTCCTAATAATTTAAGAGGTTTTGGCTAAATCGTTGTTTGAGCTGTCATCGTAATTAATACCCAACAAAATCAGGATCAGTAGCAGGAGAGCAAAAGCAACTCAACAAATTCCTCTCCCTGGCCCAGAAACACTTTCCTAATTACTCGAGACATGTGATGATGATGATGATGATGCAGACAAACTATTATTAATACATGTTCCGTGCAAATTATCTGCTTTCTGGTTCACAAATTTCTGTCATGGGTCACCCACACGTTGCGTTGGCTAAAAGGAGTACGTTTTTGCTGCTAAAATCACACCCAAATCGCACTTTGAAGTCTACCCTAATTGAACCGTTCGTTTTGAAGAAGATGTTGACTTGACTTTTGGCTGTGACCCAAAACCGTTTTGGGAAGGAAACTGCGTGATTATCCACTTATTCCGTCTCACAGTCTACTCTGGTCAATTTCTCTGCCTCCTCCATGTCGAAAATAGATAGCACACACTTTATTAACTGCAACCTCCTACTAAAGAGCTGCTAATTGGTGCAATTAATTACGATATAGCCAGCCCAATCTGCACACATAGATATGTACGCCAGCTACGAAAACATTCCTTTCACTCGACTCCATTTCCTTAATACTTCGGTAGAGTTAGCCATGCTTTTGCATATTTTTTCTGAAACCCAAGACTGCCAAATATTCCCCACCCTCGTCCACCCTGCTAATAAGCGTTATGATGGGTGGTTTTGGATGATTGAGTGTCTCCGGTCTGAATGGAGGAGGAAAGGAGGAATCAATGAACAAGGGATAATGGGGGCGAGATAGATAAGAAGGCGAGATAGACTTAGCCAGAGAATGAGAAGAAGAAGGAGAGAAAGTTTACCAAAGAATCAGCAGAGACGTCGTTTTCCTCTCTCCTTTCCCTCGTCGCCCGTAGTAAATCCATCCTCACACCGAAAACCGTACAACCTTCTCATATTACTTTATTATATTAGAATGGCTTCTTAAGCAGCCTTGGAGTGAGAAGTTTTCACTTTTTGGTCCTGTACATGACTAAACTCGACTAAAAGTGGTGGTGGTTGGTGTGCTCGAGGTCTTTATTCTCTCTCCTGGTGATCATTTCCTCTCCTTTTTCCTTCCTCGCGAGTCGCCCGGGAGGAGGAGAGCTTATCAGCTTGAACAATAATTAAGTTGGAATAATAGCTTAATTTGCAAGTCGATTATATGCGGAGACGGAGAAAATCATAACCAGTTCTCTAGAATTCGGGATGAAAGGATCGGCTGAGGATCCTCCTCCTCCCAAAACTTTCCCCACGTTCACTTCCTCTCCAATCCTCCTCTCCCACTTTCAAATACCCACCAACCACCACCACCACCCCGATTAATGCTGTTCCTCACACTTCATGCCCAGATTTATTATGCAGTCATATTATTAGCTCTGGCTGGAAAAGCATATGTGCGTCCACACATTATTATTACTTATCTCTCCGTCATCATGCATCACGAGCGACGACGACTCGTTCCTGAAATGAATTTCCTAAATTCAAATCGTGAATTACATCTTCATTTCGTATCATTTTCCTGCCTCGCACCCACCCACACGTGAAATTAAATGAAACCTTGAGAGTATTACACTCTCTCCCACGCATAATAATTATGCACGTATTTTAATTCGCCTCGATAAAAAATTAATCTTAATACTTTTTCCATAATTTGTATAATTATACGTCCCAACTAATGAACGTTTTGTTTCAAATAAATTGTTTTTATGTAAAAAAAACTGGCAGATTAATTGATTCAGAGAAGAAGAAGGTCCTCATTTGAGCCGTGTGTGTGCAGTTGGTTCGCCATTATTCTTGTCCTTCTCTATCTCCTGGTTGGGAGGACGGGGGACAATATATTTGGTGCAGAGGAAGAAGATATTTGGTCTTTTGCTCGTTTGTTATCTTCTCTCTGCTGACTGACTGCGAGAGTGACGTGATGATGTGGCAACCATTTCTCTTGAGAGAGAGACGACGACGACTCTCTCTCTCTCTCCTGTGGTTTGGTTTGGCGTTGCATTCATATCGGATTACGAGAGTCAACTGACTGACGACTCTGGCACAATTTTATTGTCTCCATTGTCATTTTGATTTTAGATATTTGTATTATTCTTCTTCCCACCCCGGCAACAGCGTCAAATCATATAATCCAGTCTGCTGAGCCTGCCACCACCTCCTCAGCCTCCGCCGCTACTTTTCATTCATTATTATTGCACTGCATTGTTATCATTTCCCAGAGCAAGAATATTATTATTATTATTATTCTAATCGGCGATCTGCCCGAGTCGCAGATAAGCCGTTATTGGTTGGGTGGGGTATCTGTGGATAATATTGCACCCAACAGCACCCCAACCAAGCAACCACAGTTTCATTTATCTCATTTTTTGCCCCCAGCTCATAATAATGTCGATGAGAATGATGATCCCTTGCACGGGGCAGATATGTACATGTACTGGCTTAGGGAGAGCATAAATCGGGTAATTCCCTCATTTACATGAACATTGCTTAATTGCTTGATTTATCATGTTTTATTATTTCTCCGCACTGGTCGACATGGTGGGATTACGCTTGGGAAAATTCAATAACGTGTAATTTTTTTCGGTGCATGTCGTGAGATCCGTAATGGTGTTTGTATTGGCAGAAATGAAGCGTGGTAATGGTGAAAGTGTAGCGAGAGAGCTATTAGGCGACAAAGATGATGATGACTGACACCGGCAACTCATTAGGTGAGATTCCTCCCAGATTGGTTCGTCATTGGGTCATTACTTACTCGGTTTAGCTCCTGCACCGTGGTGATTGAGAACTGTTGAAATATTCGACATTATTATGACTCTTGTAAAGAGATGGATGAAGAAGAAGAAGAAGTCAGCTCTCAGAGTTTAGTTAAGTTTGACAGCTTTGTATTAAATATTATTGTAGCTGGATGGATGGAGTTTTAGCAGCAAGAAAAGACCAGCATTAGGAAAGTATCAAATTCGCTGAGACGGCATTATTACGAAAGTATTTAGAACTACTGCGTACCTATTTAGTACACATGCATATAGTGCATGAGAGGACATAAGCACTTCTAGCGGCATATAGGACAGCAACACCGTTCGTCGTCGTCGTCGTAAAGGAAGTGCAGTCAAGTGGCGGAGATAAAAAGATTGAGGAATGGTGATAAGCGCTGCCTGGTTTGGTTGCCTGGTGGGTATCGGTGCCAAAGCAGGGAATTAGATGACACCAACCACCACCGCCACGTAAACGACTTGTGAAAGGTCTAATGACTCTGAAGCATGTGAGGAATGTTTCTCCAACTCTCCCATCTGGGCAGAGGCATCATTAGTAATGGCTAACTAGCAAATATTTATGCCTAATTATCCACTCTTTCTCTCTCTCTGGGTAAGTATAAGGAGAATGAAACTGAACTCTTTCCCGTCCTAAATTAACATTTAGCTAACAAAGTAAACTTATAGGTTACAAAGTACTTGCAATCATCGCGACACAATGTCAACTGTCGAGAAGTACTTTACCCACACTTCCCAACCATCCATCCAGATCCAGAGAGGAGGGTAGATCCATAGCTGAGCATGCTTATTATTGAGAGCTCCCTCTCTTAAAAAGTGATGCGGAAGTCGTAAGAGAAGATTCGTACATATATTTTGACAGAGACGGATTGGATCAATTTCTGCAGTTTTATGCTTCAAAGTCCTTGATTATTCTGGTTCGCTTTCACCGTGGTGATCTTTTACCCGGTTGATCATCGTAATTACACAGATTTGCATCACGCTAGATTATTTATTCTCAACCCTCATTAAGTTTCATCTTTCTGTCCCATACTTTTCTGTTAAATGGAAATTAGCCAGCTAAAAAGGGCTCCATTTCGGCGAAGAAGGATCATCTCCTCTTTGACGAATTGGTTTTTGGTGGTGTGGCTGGTTTGGTCGAATGGCTCTTGAGCGGATGAAGATGAGCTGAACCAAGTGGAGTGTGCATGTGAAGGAGTTCATGCAAGTCGTAAAAGACGAACAAATGAGACACTTACCAACCATAACGTTTGCACGGATCATTTACTTTGGCCATTCTCACCACACCGAAAGAAGAGTTTGAACCAACAGAAGTCTGGCTGGTATTAAGGGTTTACTTTAATAATATGGGAGAGTAAGTGAGCACTGTGTAATGAAGAGCCATCATGGTCTCCCACTATGTACTATCTCCTGCGAGAGGTGAGTGAAATATTGGTAAGCTGTATTTCAAGATTGTGTAAATAAAAAGAGAGAAATCAAGTGAGAATTGACTGCTTTCGTTCCGTAGAGTTTTTTTTATAAGTGTTACGTAACTTTCCAATCCAGACAATTTTTTGTAGCTGAAGAGCAGTAAACTACCCACTGCATAAAATGGGGTTGTTACATAATAGGAAATAAAGACGTAAAATTCTGTTTAAAAAATGTTAATCGGTCAAACTCCTATATTTAGAGATCGATATGTACACATAGTTGTCAGAGAAATCGGAGGGAGACAAGGGTGACTCTACGATGTGAGACTTTCGCTTAAAGTGATCCGGTTAGAAGCCTAGCCCAGCACCCCAAAACCAAGGAAGGAACCGGGACGCAGCGCAGTGGTGGATATTTAAGCTTTCTTCCTACCAACTTTACCTCTCTGGTCCACAGAGCGTGCCCTCGTCAGCAAACTGGCTTTGGGGTACCGCAGTTGATGTATTTTAACAAATTTATACGCAATACGATAATATATTTTGAATAATTAAATAGTAGTGTCGACCTCCATAGTTTTGCGAGGTGACATTTATTCTGGCCAGGACATACATATAATTATGTAATAATTATTACGCATTTTAATCAAAATAGTCATACACGTCGTCATCATCACCGGTTTCTTCGTCAGATTCCAAGTATTCCCAAATAGCGTCATCCTCAGCTAAGTCGTCTCCTCGATCAATTCCTCCTCCACCACCTCCCCCTCCCCCTCCGCCATCCATATAGGTTCCATTTTTCAGAAGTGATGCAAAAAAGGCATTAGACGACGACGATATCATTCCACCAGTGATGCCGGAAGTAGGATGCTTGTTTACTATTATGGGTACATTGTACGGCGTCTGAACTTGACTGGCCAAGCTGACCATGTCAATCTCCTCCTCGTGATCGTCACAATTCCTTATCTGGCTGTATTTCAGGTGAAACCCAGACGTTAAATTCATCGCTTCCATTTTCTTCTTATACTCTTGATAAGGCGATGTCTTTATCCGCAGCGAGATAAGATTGGATCTGACCCGAGCTGAAAAATGTGGTCATATTTTTTAACTACAATTTGTACACTACTACAAAAAACTAATTGCTTAGCTCCTCACCAAAAACTGGTTTGTTCACAGTTTCTCCTCCGCTCGGGGATAACGTTCCTCCACAAAAACGATCCTGGGAATTCAAAAGTTCCAACTTTCTCTTATTCACAGCAGCAGCAACAGGCGAGCGACGTTTATTCGGCTTCGTCGTTGTGGCTGGGCGACGACGGCGAAATAGTAATCTCTTCTCGCGTAGATTTACAACCGTGGTGCCGTGTCCGTCGGGGATCATCACGAAATCCTGACCACACGCAGTCGTCCCGGCACCCGACCTGCCCGTATCATTCATATGCAGGTCAAAACTTTGCTCATTCATGGTGTTGAATAATAATGGAAATGAAGAAGCAAACCACAATGTACGAGCATCACCTCAACAGCATCTCCTTGGGGGCAGTTATACTCTTCTTTACCCGAAATTCTCCCGGGGCAGAGTCGTACCGAATGCCGCAAACTCCTTTTCCAGACCGGATACAAATCTGGTAGTTTTGTCCGTTGAGGTAGCGACCGCCTTCAAAGTTGAACGACTTTATTGTCCCAACTTCAGAGAGGAAGAATTGTGTACACCCCTCGGGAGCTGCAGTAGCGAGGAATATTAAATAAAAGAATGTTTGATCCACATACATAATTTGTGCACCAACCTTTCAGCACGTTAAAGGCGGCGCAGTCCATTTGTGTCAACCAGATTCCAAACCGGTACGGTTTCCCTTTCAGGACTGAGACAACTTTGAAGTCAATGAGGGACGTGTTGCCACCCCAGGGTTCCAAGTGCAGATAAACTAGAGGGTTAAAAATATAGAATATTAAAATGCATGTCCCACTTTCACCGTAAACTCTGTTAGGTTTTAAGCATTACAATGTTGATCGTTATTCACTCCACAAATTGGAGAAAGGCCAGTCGGCCAAAGTGCACCTTCCACGGTTAGCGTTTGGGACAAACATTCTCCTCTCGTGGGTGGGAGAAGCACTGTATCGACGAGGTCGACACGAACCTGAGCATTACATAATTGCACTTGCATTAATTAAACAGAAAAAATAACACATACTTTAAATTCTTTGAAATTTCACCAGAAATAATTTTTGTTTTATTTTATTTTGGCTTTATTTTACCTGACAAATATCATGGCTTTGGATGACCAAGCGGAAATTGCACTCGCCAGCAACCTCATCATCTCTGGGATACTGTTCGTTGACAAAGTTGATCACCATTTCCCTCCCAATGTCGCCACATCTGTAAACTAAGCCACTCGTCTCACGATTACAAACTTGAAAATAATTAATACTTATTAACACATATAACTCACACCTTTCGGACTAGGAAGTAACCGCCCACTCCTTTTTTGCACTTCTTGTTCTTGGTGTGTGACTCCTTTCGAGTTTTGTAAATTTGCACTTTTTAAGTCTTTTGGAACTCGAACTCTGACAACGTCCTCACCGCTCACAGAACTTTTTACATTATGGAAACTAACTAAAATGAAAATACGGATGGCAATATCAGAGTAAAGGTGAAACATGCGTCGCTGCATGTTACCCAATTTTTTTGAGAGAAAACACACCCTAAAAATTTTTAAAAGTAAACTTTTAGACAGAATTCTTCTACCATGTCAATCCGCAGTGTTGAAGTAATTGAATGAACACACACTCTAGAAAAGTGGGATGAACATCATTCTTCCCAGGATTGTTTTATTGTCGAGTCAAATCCTAGAAAATCTTGTTGTTCGAGTAAAACTGTAACAATGACATGTATGTAAATACGACGTGTGTATATGTATATGTACCCGACGGTGTATATATCGCGTCACGTTTCAAGTTGCATAACCCACTTTGTTCACACTTCTTGTGCAATATGTACATACTTTGAGCCGAATTAAGCCCGCATGTGGTCAACAAAGTGGAAATTTTGCATCCCTATTTATATTACTTTGCTTAACCAAACTAAATAAATTGTTACGAGTAGTCCTGGCTGGCTTTCTTGGTACTCGATGACATTGACTCTACGGTACTGCACATTTGCATAGAAATCTTCTCCTCTACGGTCTACGCTTCATGACTTTGAGACGACGGAAAATAAATAAAACCCAAAAAATCAGAGCAATTCTCTGTGGAACACAGGAAACCCATCACAATTACCTACGACGAGTCGAGTCTACTACTCGCACAAGTACGAGCATGCATTGTCGCCACGCTTTTTGTTACAGATACCGTTCGTTCTTCAAAGCAGTCCACCAACAACAATATGTGTCGGCCTGCCTGCACTACTCTTTTTCTCGTCCAATACCGGTAAACTATTCCGATCCATGCATCAAGTAGTAAAACACATAAAACGAATCAAGGCAATTTGAAATTCCCAATAATTTTTTGTGCAAAACTTTGTCTATATTTATTCTGTCTTGTTCCTTTTCATCTACCTAAATAAATATGTGTGTATAATTGTTACAAAGATATAAATCATTAAGTCGCTGTTTGATGTTGTGTAATTATTTGACTAGAGTATAGCAATCTCAAATTAAGTTAAAATCTCAATTATCACTATTATTCGTGACGGGGGATAAATAAATATCTACAATCCAGGGGTTTAGATTAGACTTATTTCAATAAGTACATATTAGGTATATGATGACTAGAGGCAACCAGAGTTTAAGGCGGTGATGACGCTGATTATTTTTACTGTAAGAACAATACAACCTTAATTAACTAATTATGTAAAGATTGTATTCATCACTCTTTTTATGAGTTAATAAGTTGTTCTCTTTTTTACAACTATTTAATTAATATTATCACTAATCATCGTAAGTACGTGAACATTTTTTCGTATGAATATTGAACAATAATATTCCACTAAGCTATGGACACACATTTTGATTCGATCCATGTGACCTTTTTACGAGCACCAGGATGGCAACAAATTTATATCATATTTCATTCCGGGGAAAAAAATACTGGATATTTATTCCTTCCAATTATTGATTTCCTCCAAACATTTACTTACTTCCTTAAAGTGAAATAAATATCATCATGGTTTTTCCAATGTTGCGCGAATTTTCGTATAAAAAATATAATAAAACATACAACGCATCGACTGCCGTAAATATACGAGTTTTATTTAGTGAGTATTTGGTATCATCTTCTCAGGCAGCACAAGTTGCATACAGTATGTAACAAAAGTATAGCTACGATGACATATTTTTTATCTCGACATGATGCCGTAATATTTCAACTTTGAAACTCCGTACGAAAATGTCAAAACTATCTGCCGACAAGTTCCTCGTCGCCGATTTTTAATTTCGCAGATAGGTCAAAGGTCAGGATTATTTTTCTGAAAAAATTTGAGGCGTCGAAAAAAAAACTTCGTGGATAATTTTTTTTGAAACTTGCAATATTTTTTACTGGATACGGCATGCGTTTTGAAGAATAATGAGCCTTGTTTGGACCGTGTACGATTTTTTTGACGCCCACAGGAATTTTTCGCCAAAAAGAGGTTGAAGGTCTAAAATCGCCGCCTTGGCGAAAATTCAAAAACTGAAATATACGTTTGCATATAGAGGGTCCGGATATGCAAACGTATATTTCAGTTTTTGAATTTTCGCCAAGGCGGCGATTTTAGACCTCCAACCTGTCCTGGGCGAAAAATTCCTGTGGGCGTCAAAAAAATCGTACACGGTCCAAACAAAGCTCATTATTCTTCAAAACGCATGCCGTATCCAGTAAAAAATATTGCAAGTTTCAAAAACAATTATCCACGAAGTTTTTTTTTCGACGCCTTGAATTTTTTTAGAAAAATAATCCTGACCTTTGACCTATCTGCGACATTAAAAATCGGCGACGAGGAACTTGTCGGCAGATAGTTTTGACATTTTCGTACGGAGTTTCAAAGTTGAAATATTACGGCATCATGTCGAGATAAAAAATATGTCATCGTAGCTATACTTTTGTTACATACTGTACGTAACACGGGAGGGGAAGGAGAGGTGTCAATTTGTTGATACATGATACGAATACACGTCGACTTTTGTCCCCATAAAAAAAAGATGGCAAACAAAATTCTACGAAATGGGTTTCACTTTTTGTGTACGCAGAACTGGGTCGTGTCGTCCTGCTGGGCACACAGCTTTTGCTACAAGCTGTGTGAATCTTGAGCCGATAAGGTTTTTGGTAAGACTGGCAGAAATAAACACCTCTCCTCCCTCATCCACGGTAAAAGAGACATTATTAGAAAAACAGTGCGTGCCGTATATGTGTAACACCATAGTTTTTATCTCGTTAAAATAACCCCACAACTAACAAAGCTAGACGGATGATTCGTAAATAATGATTTGAATAAGTCGTGGTTCATCCGATTCCACCATGTCGATGTCGAACTCGTCTTCATTTTCCCAAAACTTTTTCCAAATGCTGCCTTCCCGTTTCATCGCTTTCGAACTCATGGCCAGAGCTTTCTTCAACTCCTTCAGGTCTTGAAGCACGTTCACGTCCAGGTTTATATTGTCCCCGTATCTGGAGGGTGATCACATAATGAGATCAGTTATTAGAACCTTGATATGTCACGGGAGCTAAAAATAATAATGGATCAAAATCTACAAAAGCCTACCAACAAGTACTTATACTGAAGAAATGTTAGCAAAAGCTGGGAAATTAAATGCTCTAGATTAGTCGAGACTACCAAATGGAACTACGCACGACGACACAATTGTGTAACCAAACTGCCAAACCAAGAAAGCGCAACTAGATTTATGCCATTTGTAACAATAAAGACGCTTCTGCCAGCTCAAATCTTATTAAAAACTGTATTTTTAAGCACGTTTCTCCCAATAATGCACTGTTTTTACGAGTTCAGATTGACACAATGGTGTTAAAGCAGCAACAAAACTTCCCATTACGTCGAACTGTTGCCTCTGCTTATGCAACTTTGCGCTCACCACACTGCACCAATATCTTATTTAAAACAGGATTTAAGAATTCGGAAGAGCAGCTCGCCCATCATCATCATCGTCGTCATCATCTTTTACGCGAATCTGGTAAGCAGCGTGTCTACTGAGATACAATGAATTCTACTGTTTGTGACCATTTGTCGGGCTCGTTATCTTCATCAGCGTAATAAATAGGGTGCATTATTGCTCCATTTAATGTGCACTTATCTACTTTACGTACGAAGAAGGAGAAGGTTTGTATATTTGTGTAGCAGACAAGGATCAACGATACACCGGTTATTCCTCTGCTGCTACGAACTCATAAAATAAAATATAACTGAGCTAACTAAATAAGAGCTTGAATGAGTGAACAATGACAACAACCGTACATGGCTCGCCCAGTATTTCCTCCCATCCTAGAGAGAACATTAGTACAGATTTTTGACGTATTTAATCATGTGCAAAAATATTAGCAATATTTTTTTTAGTTATCACACATTGATAATGACAAGAACACTTATCGATAAATCGATATAAAAATATAATGAATTTCTTCAAAAAATGGGAAATTTACTTTTTAAGTGACTCCGCCAATGGTCCCGAAAGCCCTTGCAGACGAGAGGACAGTTCTCGCATCTTCTTCCAAGAGTCGGCATACTGGATTCGCACTAATTCAATGGCCGTCGACGTCAATGCGAGTCCGACCATGATGTATATCGTGCAAAGTAACATGTACGTCGTCTTTTCTGTGAAAAGGAAATGGAAAAGCAGGATTTCAAATTTATGAAAAAACCGAGATAAAACTACAAACCACAAAGAAAAGAGTGAACGAGTGGGTAAGAGAAAACACACATCATTTCGCAAAAGTGGGTCTAAATTGACCAATATCTCATCCCTTTTTTCTTTTGATGGTGAAACTATATGGAAATTTTTGGGAAAAGTTTCACGAGTTATTTCACATTGTTCTAGACACGGCTTTTGTCCGTCGTGTGTAAGGAATAAAAACATTGAGAAGATAGCCATATACATATTATGTGGGTTAGTTGGAGGGTTTCACGCCGGATATATTCATCCGCTTCTTGCTCCACTTTGGACCAAGAAGAGACTTGCACTTTCTCCTTCTGCTTGCCACTACTGACTCGGTTTTTTCTTTTACTTACACAAGAAAAAAACCGCTCCACAGGAGCAAGACTCAGACAAATAAAAGATTTTGCACAAAGTACAACCATACAGATTCATCGGTGGGTGCGATTTCCCATTCCATTCTGGCTGAAAACTTCAACTTTCCATGCAATACAAGGGTTGCATAAGCACCAGGCGGAGAGGAGATTTCTCCGAAAACTGCATCTAAAACCCGGTGCACGTCTGTACATAGGTAGTAATGCGCTAAAAAGTACTCTAGAAAACTGACCGGGGCGCCATGCAGGTACAGCATTTCGGCCGCTCTCATAACACATAAAATGTGTCATGCTCCATAGCTTCTCATATTTGTCATCATCCTGATTCAATAATCACGCAGAGCTGTCAGGGTCACTACTTCCGCTACTCTCGCAGGATTAGAGTAAGCTTATTACTGGCACGAAAACTGTTAGCCGGTTCGATCAACATGTAGAAATGTCGGCGGAGAGATAGAGAGAGAGAAAGTGACACAGAGTCACGTACGTGACATGAAAGTGGGATGAGTCGTAAGGAGAAGACGTAGACGAAGGAAAACAAACAGAGCTTCCGACCCAGACAGGAACTTACCAGGCACTAGATCTCCAAATCCAATCGTGGTCATTGTAATGAAACAGAAGTAAAATGAGTCAAAAAAGCTCCATTCTTCCCAAAGCTATCAATAGTACAAATTAACTTGAATTCCATTAAATTTATGTGTTTATTACGAGGGCGACTTACCGTGAAAAAGTATCCTCCTGCTGAAATGTATAGGAGCAACGACCCCACAGCGGCCCCCACGGTGGCAGATTTTCCTATACACAGCCACACCACGAGTTAATCTTGGAACGAGATTCAAATCCTTAAATTATCGAAACTTTTCCAACTACGATTACGACTACTACTTGCATTGCGTTGCATTGCAGAACGACTTGCACTACGACTACTACTTCAACAGCCATCATTACATTACTAAATAGTTTAATACGAAATACTGCACGGCACTACTACTTTCTCAAATAGTGCCAACGAAAGCCAGACTACGGAAACAATGAGAAATAATTATGCATATTGCGAGCAATGGGAATATCGTCAGCAGAATTGCTTGGGGAGAAAAAAAAGCCTGGCAGCTTTTTCAGGTATGATTGGCCCCATAAAGACAATAATATTTTGTAGTTTCGTAATCCTAACTCAACAAGAAGGAGGGGACCACAGAAAAATAATGGGTTTCCTTCTAGCATGAAATAAATATGTACATACGTGATGAAAAACAATGACTTCTTATGTAATCCAAAGTCTGAGCTGGATAAATGTCTTTATATTTTTTTCCTTTACTTTTTTGGTCTTTGTTCAGAGTACAAAACATTCATTTCGAAACAATAAAAACAAGAATGCAAGACCTCTCCATGAATCAAAATGAACAAAACCTGACGTACATACGTAAGTGTCTGCCATATTTAAACATAAGAAAGATGGATGTAAACCTAACGTGATACTTTCACCTCCACTGAAAACATGTAATAGTGACACCCTGCCGAGTAACGAATAACAAAAAAACCAACAAGTATCTGACTCTTCGAAGGTACATTTGTAATTAATAATTATTAAGAGAATTAGCTTACTACTTTACCACTACAAAAATTATGAGAGGCATGAGATGGGAAACAATAGGCTAATAAATAAATAGGCCTGCTGCTGGTGGAGGAATAAGAATAGAGCGGAAATGCCAGCAACATTTGTCATAATAAGAAGCACACAAGATATGGTCAATAAGGATACAAAGCAGCTGCTTCTACAGCCTAAAATTCAGCATACAGTTGAGAGAACTTTTTTACGTATTAAATGCAGCGAACGAACGAGCGAAAAAGAGAGAGCATTATTACAAAAGGGAAAAGAGATGACAAGAAAGAATCTCAATTTTAGTGTTGTCACCGGAAGGAATCTCTGCAATAGTGATATGAGCGAGCCCACCATCAAACATATCCAACCAACACCACTACCACCACCATCACGATGATGATTACTTGTTGTCGGGATGGACAAAAGAACAATTACTCTGTCAATGTCAACATTTTCTGATTTTTTTTTCTTTTTTTTCCTCGATTTTGTCGAGGATTAAGTATAGAAATTTATATAGAAATAGGAAAGCGAGTAAGAAGCACAACAATCATGCAAGATTTCGTACCACCGAATTTACTCAGTTTCGACGACGACTTGATGATTTCCTTGGGGAAGTGGCGACGACAACTTTTGTAGGAGGAGGAGACCGCGGAGGCCATCAATTTCCCGAGATCCGCTATCACGGTAAGAGTGAATGGAATTCCTATCAAGGCGAAGAAGATGCAGAAGACGCGACCCGAATGAGTCTTCGGAGCCATGTTTCCATACCCTGTCAAATAATGGGGACAACAACAACAACAATTATGCACTGCGGTATTATTACAAGTCATAAACACATAACAGTAACAACAGCAAGTGTGAAATACCGCCAGACCGACAAACCGACTAGACTGGGTCAGGTCAATCTCCTCACTTACTCATAAGTTTAGAAACTTGCGAAATCCACAAGCGCACACCCGCAGATTCACTTCTACATATCTCAGTATTTGCACAGCGAAAAATAACTGCTGCATTATTTAGAATCATGCAATGGAACCCTAGGTTAGAGGACAATTGAATTATGACGCGAATAATTCAGCGAATTATGACGACGACAATGCAACTGCGAGCGAGTATTGTCCGTATATTTAATCCTGACAGATTACCAGCCAACTCTGTACACATGAAAAATGCAGATATTTACTTTTGCCAGTGCAGCAACTGGGCCATTCTCATTTTCTTCCACCACTAATATACTTTACTATGTGGAAATAAATATATAATAAAAACTGGGACAAATTGTCATCATTTTTATTTCCATAATGTGCAAAAGCTGGCTGGTTATATGAAAAAAATATGGATTTGCTCAAGAGAATTTGTGCAAATTCTCGGACAGAGAAAGTTTTAAAACTTTTGTAAAGCAGGAAAGTTTATAAGATATGTGGGTCTGGATATGCATACAAATGGGGACCAGATTCCTGAATTACATCACAACCACAGAAACCACGAACCACCACTTTCACTTTTCCTCATTCTTATTATCCATCCATCCATTCTGCTGACTGGACGACGTACATATTCCTTTCACTGGTAATTTGTATACCCTTTAACCTGCTGACTTGGACCAAACTTTCTCCCCCGCGTGTACTTTGGTTGGTACAAGTCTCGTTTGCTTTTGGGCACCCACTTTCACGGCAATAACTCATTTCACTCAATTCAATATATCTCCACGGGAGCGTAGTGGCTGACTTGACTGGCTGCATGAATGACAATCAAATTCTGGTCTGTGTGTGTGGTGACGTAAAATGGGTAAGTAAATTGATTGTGGTGGCCTGGCTGGGTCAAAATATGCACGCGGGTGTCCCGTTCTATCGGTGTGGAATAATACCAATAAAATTATATCGCCTTCCACACTTAACCAAACCAAGCCACCAAACGGACTAATAATGAAATTTAGCTTGCTTTAACTGGTGGATAGAACGACATAATTTTATAATGTCCTTAACATTGATGATAATTAATCACACGAGCTGAAACTGAAAAGCACTTGCCTATTGTGGTGAGAACAGTGGAAGCAAAGAAGGCAGATTGAATGTAATCCCAGTCGGATTTCACTTCTGGATTAAGCACGGACATTCCCTCCGAAGTGACTTCTTCTATTATTTTATCGTAAGTTTCCAACGCCAGAGAGAAAGTGTAGTTTAAGTCGTCAGCCTGTTAATATTATTGGGGGAAAAAGGTGTTTCAGTTTTTTTCATGGAAATATGTAAGCAATAAGGAAGAAGGTAAACTTACCTCTAACGAACTACTTAAAACAGTGCGGGTAAAATTGGTCCGTCCTTCTAGCAGTAAATGTTTGAGGGTGGTCTTTCTATCAATCTCATAAGGGCCTTCCAACGTCTGGAACACCTGTGACCAATTAATCGTCCATATCTCAGACTAAATATGTACTTCCTGTCATAGGCATAACTTCAAAGAAATGTCACTCTCTCAAAATGCTGCCAACTTTGCTCGTGCTGTCGGAGTTGGGTTGTTCATTTACTCACATGCTCACGTAATAAATATCTACTTTACTGTACCTAGTAAACCCAACCAAAATCATGTTTCGGAACGAGGGGAGCTCTATTATGCCCAGTTTAATACTACCCACTACCGAATACTTCTGCTATTATTGTGCAAGCGTTTTAATATAACCAGGGTTCAAACTACTTGCTTAATATGAACATAAATTGTGCTATGAATTAACGCATTGTTTATACATTTATTATACATACATTAGCATAAAACAAATAGGCGACCTGCAGGTGTGAAACCAATATTGCGCATTCATTATTTCTGTGAAGTTGTGTAAGGATTTGAAATTACTTATTGACTGAATCTTTATATTAATGTCACTACAAGGATTAGAAAATTTAAACAGGCCAAAATATATTGCTTATCACTTGTACTTGAACAAGAAACTTGCAATTAAAATTATAGCGACGGATGAATTTTAGAATGGCGTACATTAAATACAGGTGACTGTTAAATGTGACTGAAAGCCAAAAAAGTAATATATTTACAGCTTTCACTTTTGTAAACTCGAAGAGCTCGGCTGACGAAAGAAACTTAGAAACCCTGGTCCCCACAGCATATCCTTTAATAAAGAGGAGCCAGGTGCAGCATGACTTTGTTATTTTTTTGCAAATTGCTCTTAAAGTAATGGATTCTGGTGAACCTTTTAAATTTCCGATATATTAGTTCACCTTGCAACATCAAGACTCGTAAAATTTGCCAAAACGAATGCCTTTATTTCCTCCCTTCATGAATATATAACGTAAATTGAGGAGTAGATGGATTATATTCTGCCGGAAAATCAGGGTGTGTCCCAAATGTTTCCGCTCTTCTCTACTTCTGTTGTTCCATCACCATTCACTTTTTAATCCACCCGGTTTTGCATTTTGTTTTGATTTAGCAGTGAAACCAACTTTGCAATAAATCGTTTCACTACATTCCCCTCCCTCCACCTTCTCGACTGATTTAGTCATTCAGCCCTCCACCAACATCGGCAGCTAATCCTTGTTTCGTGAAATTAATGAAGTATAATGTAAACCTAATTGGGCCATTGGCACGCCGATCCTGGGATGGAAAACATGCAACCATGCAGCAAAGTGCGTCGAGAATATACATACTTATTAATTGGGCTGCGATCAAGTTTCGAAATGAGTAATCACGCGACAAGCAAATTCTGATGGGATTATTAGTTTGATATTTTCCGTTTTACAGGATAAGGCATTGGATCCATGGGACGGGAAGGGATGTAGATAATTTTCAAAATTTATCACGGTCATCCCAACTGCGAGTCGTAAATACGTATTCATCTTTGTCTACGCAGTTTTTTTAGTAAAATGCCAATTTCCACTTGACCTAAATGATACTTTGTAAGCAAGAGAATGACGTTATATATATTCGCATACGCAAGTCGAACCATTTCCTACATATCAGTCGCCCATCCATCATCATAACTCTCAAGAAAAGTTTCCCATTAAATGAATCTAATGAGCGACAAAGACTTTCTTTCACTGAAAGCGGCGAACAAACTTTTTTCTCAGATTTTGTCACAAATGTTTTGCATCCTCAATTAATTTATTAGCCTACTAAATCCTGAGATTGGTGCAAATTGTAATTTCCCAATTTTTGTATTCGCTGCTTTTCTCGCTATTCTCCTCCAAATATTAAAACTAAACCAAGACTACGATCAGCACCAGCATCATCTCGACCAAACCCAATCCATCCAAGAATCAATTCCCTAATGGAAGCAGGAGCTATCTCACAATCCTAAAAAGAAGAGGAAATCTCTGGTCCAGTAGTAAAACAAGGCAGCACGCTCATTCCTTCATTTTTAGGTATCCACCCTCCTCTTTCCTCCTCTGGATGGATACTACTACACATCCGAGTGAGTACACAGTTAAAAAATTTGTATATTTCAGAGACAGTAAAAAATAAGGGAAACCTTCAATTTGTCGCAAGTATCAAAGCAGCCGATTTCTAATAAAGTTCGAGGAAATAAATCGGCAGCAGCAGCACTAGTTAAACCGTAACCTGGCACAGGGCCACATTTTCTCTTCACTACTATAACCATAGCCGACGGTAGTTTGTTGTGTGTGATGTCATCATCGTCATCACATCACCAATCCAAGAGTGGAAAATGTGTAGACAATGACGCAGCAACTCTGCATCTTCCGGATGAAGAATGAAAAAATATGACTCGGTTTCCTTCTAGGAATGAGGAAGCCAACAAATCACGTACAAATCTTGCTGCATACAAATGTCAACGAGGTGGTTTGGCATCGTCTCGTATTTCGTGGGTCTCATGCACCCCGACACTTTCTCTGTCGCTTTGCTTCGCCATGAGTGCGTTGCAGCACGGCACAACCTCTATTTTTATGTCATGTGCTAATAAAACTTCAATTGGACTCGTCCCAATTAACGACTCACTGGATGGATGCGGAACAAACCGACTCCCACAGCTGAGACGGTTTCAAGATGAAAGTCATTCTCTGCCTCCGCTAATAAAGTTGAGCACTGCGAGAAGGACGCGGAGGGAGATAGAGGCTGAATCTATAAATTCAATTGATTATGGGATGATTTTCTCTCAGCCGTGAATGCGAAGTGGATGAGTTCATAACCCAACTAGAGGAACCAACCAGGGTAAAATAATATTAAAACTTTCCGAGAATTGGACTGAAATCAAGTAAGTAGTAAATAACAAGAAGACGAAAAAACTACGCAGATTTTTTAGTTATAAATCTGTAGTGGAAACTTTTAAATGTTCTCAGAACTTAATTGAGCGCATCTGTGACAAGTGAAGTAGTAAAGTTAGCAAAATCAGGCCCATTCGCTAATTTTTTTCGAATTCTTACTACGCAATGCATAAGAAAACAGAATTTATAAATAGTACTAAATGCATTTTTATCCAAGTACAATCGCTGTTTTCGGTCACTCTACTACTGGATTATGCAACTAATTTGTTGTGTGCACGGAACAATACAAGTTACACAAAGTTGTAACCCTACGACCGACTTCAAAACCACCAAGCTCCAAACCAACCGTAGGGAAAAAATCTCATCGCGAATTTCTACTGCGGAAGTATGGCACAGAGCAGTAATTGCATCCATCTGCAATGAGCGGATGAACGAACCTCCTCCTGAGGGTGGCATTCCAGAAATACAGATTCCGTACGGAATGCGTTCTTCTTCAGTTTAGTTGTTCTTTATTATTCCTTAACGGAAACAAAGTGAACCAGCAGAAAATAAGGTTATCTGCACATGGATACATTCTTCTTCTTCGTGCTTTAAGCAGGGCGTAGTAGGTGTGGTATGTCGGAGCCAAATTCCCTGTTTCCTCCTTGATTTACACCGGAAATAAAACCATTTTAATGTATGCGCGGCACAAGTCAGACACGACACACACGAGGGAAGAGTGAAAGCATAATGTGTGGAAATGTGTTATCTCAGTCTTTATGCGGGTGCAAGAACTCATCAACGCTATAAATATTGTTTATGTGTTGTATTTATTTTGCAACATTCACTCTCCTCCCTCCTTAACCTTAACTCCATCTCGCCCTCTGACTCCTCTCTCTCGCTGTGTGCATTATCTAATCCCCAGCTATCAGTTCAGGGGTATCTCTCTCTTGAGAAAATCTGAGAAAATGTCGCAAAAAATCGGCTCCGTGGTGAAGGAAACCACACCAGCAGAGCCAGACCACATGTGTGTGTTTGTCTGGGTGTGGGTGAGATGCAGTTGGGGCGATTCGTCGTACTTATTATTGAAATTTCTGAAAAAAAGTGCATGAAAACTGCAATAATCTCGCTACGTATGAACCAATATTTCCGGGTGTTTCGTAACAACAACATGTGGGAAAACTGTTATGTGAAAAAGTATTTTGCGATGATCGAATTCTGACAAACAAAACCTCGAGACATCTTGCACTTTGTTATTTTTTGAACAAAATGTGCAGTTTTAGTCTTCAAACCAACCAAAAAGGAACCACAACTGGATCAAGCATCATTTTTTTTCTTTTCAGCTCACAAATTTTGCTTGAACTCATAAGAACGAATAATACAATGGAAATCCAAAGGTTGACAAATTTCTTTGAAAAGGCGGGCAAATGGGTAATAAATTTCTGTCGGTAAATTCCATAAAAAATATATCTAATCAGTCCAATCACTTTGACTTCCGTGAATTTTTTCTCCCCGTTAAAAATAGCTTTGAAAAATAGACTCCCACCTCCAAAACTGTGTGCACATTGGTACATAATGCCGGCTTAAAATAGATGATAAATTATGCATGTCCCTCGTCAACAAGGAGTAAAAGCGACCGGAGACGAGACAAAAAATCTGCTGCTGCTGCATCCCTACGAAGAAGAAGAAGATAAAACGAGATAAAGCCATAAAACCAATCCTTACATATGCCAAAGTGCGATGATATGTATAATTACGTCACCCGTTCCATCGTCGTTGCATGGGTCGTGGTGTGAAGCCTTGTAAAATAATTCCCCTGCAATATTGTGCCGATAGATACCCCACCACATTTCATTCCTGACATGTTTAATGTCTTCATTTCACAACAAACGAAGCAGTTCTCCCTCCAAAAAACCAACCAACCTGTCCGCATGTTTATTTCGACACAGTCTTCAACAACGTGATGAATGGCTTGATAAATTAATGCTTTGCATTCACTCGCCCCATTTTTCTGGCATGTCGTATGCAAAAGTAACCATGTTTCCTAGCCTTCAATTGGTTTTATTTCGTTTTATTACCAATCTCACAATCTTAATTGAACTGGGTGGAGCTTTAAGGTATGAGGATTGAGAAGAAATGTATAACAATTTGGTAAGAATAATCATTTGTGGCATGACATGCAGACCGCAGGCCAGAACTTGCATGAAGAAAGCGGAAACAAGACTGGAAGGATTTAATCATGGTGTTTAGACTGGTTGGAAATATGTGCTCAGTATTAAAACATGATCGTTTTATCAAAGTTGCAAGTAATATTGATAGTCATTCGCGTCTAGGATGCATGCGAGGACCGCATGACTGAGAACATTGACATTTCCCGACACTTCCACCTGGTTTACAAGTCGATCTTCTTCCATAGCACTCGAGTGACAAGCCATTACTAAAAAATGGATCATAATACTGCGAGAAAAGTTGGCCATCCACTCTCGGGAAGGCATCCTGCCTGACTCTGAGACTGCATGGTTATTGTCATCGTAAAGTGTCACGACACTCTTAATTGACATTTTCTTTGCCAAGTGACATCATTGTCTTGACTGGCTACACAAATCTATCCTTAATTGGGTCGAACTACTAGAATTTTTAATATCGTGCCTACCACCAACTAAAAGCTACATTCCATTAAGAAATATTACATGAAGTGTCAAGTATTCTCTTAAAGTCCGATAAGTACTTAACGACTAGTTCCACTTGCCAATCTAATTCCACCCGTCATCAAAATCGTGTAATAAAGTTCAGCCCCAGGATATCAGCCATTTCCACAATCGAATTTTGGTCAGAGTTTGGTTAGAGAAACGGAATAAAAGTGTGTTAAAGGGTGTAAAAATGTGTAAAAAAAACAGTTGATAAAAGTTGGAAATGTACTTAATTCTCTAGGTTAAAAGGAATTTTGTTTTACAAATCTACACAGATTTGCAATGCGGCACCGTGAAATAAATAAAAGAGCTCTAGAGCTCCGCAAACAGTAAGAATGGACTACATCAAACCACCACAAAAGATTACCCATGCTCCAATTCCAGTGTAAATGATAAGGGCCACAAAGAGTCCGAAATGGCCAACAAATACTTTGATACGATTGAAGAAATGTTTTGTTGAGCCCGGTCTGACTTTCACTTGCTTTCTCCCGTCCAGCTTCTCATCGCCGTCTCCCATGTCGACCTTTCACTCGCTCTCCCCACTTCAATCACTTTCTCTCCACACTGCTTGCACAAATCGCTTACGGCACCGACCACTACCAACACCACCACCAAGACCGCTGCCCGACTGGGTGAGTGATAAGATTAGCCAGCTTTCCACTTTATTCTACCAGCAATGAGGACCAAAAGGCATAATAATTTGGATTAAGGCTTCTCCGGTTGAACCTCCACCACACTCAAGTCCACCACTCAACTCTTGTACTCAACTATCACCCCAACTAGTAATAAGACACTTGGTAACTCAAAAATTCATGAAACGGGAAAAGAACTCTCTCTGGATTTCAGAACTCGACGACGAAGGGATATGTACGTTCCTCCGTTTGAGTTGGTTGGATGGAGGCGGAAACGATACGAGTTTCTTGTTCTTCTTGTTCTTCTCCTCCTTTGGTAATGAGCGTGGTTGTCCTTGTCCTCCTCGTCGTGAGCAAGACTGCATTCGTCGAGATAAATGACTTGTTCCACTGCAAGAAGAAGAAGAAGGAGGAGGCGGCAGTGGTGTAATCACAATTGTGGTTATCACGACCATGAAACAAACGCCAAAGTGGAGAGAAATATACGAATCTGAGAATAGCGGTGACAGAGTGGTGTCGGAACTGCGAGGGTAAATTTGGTGACACTGACTGTGTGATGATGATCTTCTCCTCAGCAGTGGCAGCAGCGGTATGAGACCAATGGGTCGGACCGATCTGCTGGGAAAATCGGGAGGAAACTGTTGCAAAACCAAACTGAGAAATCTGTCTCACAAGAAAGAGCAAGTTTCTACCCTGATATTTCCACCCGTCTCGTCTTCTCCTTCCCGTCTCAATTCTCAAACGTTCGCCTCTCCTCCTCCTCCTACGAATACAAGGATGCTTGCACGTGCTCCAGAGAGTAGAACACTAGTAGCGAGGAGGAAAAACCAGCAACAGAATTTCATACTCGGAAACATTTACTCTCCAGTAGAGAAGAAATTTTGCAAACGGACTCTGCTGCCTGGCGCATGCACGATCTTCTCATTATTACACATTACACAGTGAAAGAGTTTGCAATTCTTTAGCTCGTACTGAATGCCCTGCTACCAAGAATGTAGTGGCAAACTCGTAGGCATGAAGATAGAATGAATGAATTTCTTTATTGCGGTAAGGCCTGTCGAGTTACAAAAATAGGTAGAAATTTATAACAACAATAACAATTTGAGTTCCGTTGTTAGTGGTTTTAGCTAATGTGTTCAAAAATTTTACAAAATTTTTCGCAATAATTTGCACATAATGTAGTGTTTACAATATAGTATTTAGATAAACATAGTCATAAATACATAGGGAGGAGAACGAAATTTTGGTGATTTTTATATGAATTTCCTAGCAGACAATTCAGGAATCCATTCAATATTCCTCAGGTTCTTCATTCCTTATTAATGTCCTGCTTTTATAGCTTCTACCATGAAGGAGGTCATGTCCTTCTGAAGATAGACAATATGTTGCAATGCATATACAACGCTTGGACAAATTTGTAAGCGGGTCAAAATTTTTGCATGTCAGTGATGTGCTTTTTTGTTAACGTAGAGATATGCGTGCTTACTTTGGTATTCTATAATTTATTCAAGGTTTGCATGATGGCTTGGCAAATTCGAAATTTCTTAATTCGGAATGATGTTATTGTCGAGCTGATGTGACACTTTTGCGAACCATTCACCACCATTGCTGAAAAAATTGGCAGCTCGTTTGGCAAGGTGGTGAAGGCATAAACACACATTTTAATAGGTGTAGTAACTTTCTCGGGGACCAAAGCGTATCCAATCATGTTTCTGAATACACGAGAAAAGATGAATTAGTGCGAAGGTTTGGAGGTCGAAGAAATATCCAATTAACATTTTTCTACACACGAATAAACGGTTTTCATCCATGACATGAAATATGTAATTGCTGATTTAACTTAATTAATTGGAATAAATTCGTGCGTTATGTTAATAAAAAAAAAAAAAAATTATTGCAAAATTGAAATGGAAAATACTAGACTACGTAGATTCGATGTGAATTCGCACATGGTGGTCAAAAATTGGCAAAACGTGGTATATATCAACATTCCCTTCGCAAAATTACGTAACTGCTCGGATAAATCTTGTGCACAAAGTAAGTCTCATGAATTTTGATGTACGACGACAATTTTCTCATTGAAATTGCACTCATATCCTAATAATAAGATCACACGGGGAGATTACAACATAATTGGCACGTTCTCCTCCGCAATCTTCGTATTATTAGACGATTGATGATGAAGACCTTTTGTCACCACTTCCTTGACATAACTGCACATTACTGCACCATCATCGCCATGCCGTGTTATTATTCTCTTCTCTCTCGCACAATGCAGGGACAAAAATAGTGTCGCAAGTGGACTGGCAAGTGGATCCCCACCGACCACACCACCAAGATTCCCAAACCAATCATGAGACATTATTTATATTGCTCCCACTTATTTATTTCCTGGAACTCACTTCTTATTCCGGCCAAAAGTGGAGCAAGGATCATGTACCTGTCCCAACTTATCTCACCAACCAAGGACATGGAATGAATTGGGCTAGTGCTATATTTTATATAATATTGATCTGATCCGATCCGGAATCACGGTGTATGAATTGATCTGACTGAGCTGAAGGGTTTGGTTTGGTCTTTCGGTTTGGTTGGCGGAATGGAAAATGAACCAGTTTGAGAATTGCTCTTCCGTCCATCCAGCCTGATTTACTCCCCATTTTCTCAAACGCTGCATTATTTCCACATCATTTCCGCTCTATTGGATACTCACTCGCACCAACGACCACTCGGTTAGAGAATCAATTCGCCAAGTACCACACACAAGCAGGGTCTAACTCACTGTGGAAAGTCACATTGATTGACTCAATTCGCACCCTCGCCCAATAATGGTACAAGCATTACTTTGTACAAACAGTTATGACGACTCCTTTCGTTTTCGAGCTATTATTGATTCAATTGTGTGCATTTGCCTCAAGAAAAAAGGAGCCTATTCTCTGCTCGCACTTTATTCGTCCGCCGTTTCACGACGACAAGGACAATTAGAAGTCATGCATGAACTACTAATGTGAATTACTTCCTCGAATTAAGACGCACACACGTTCGTACGTATACGAATACTGTGTCAAACTCATTATCCCGTCCTAAAAGACCTTACCGACTTCTTAATTCTCAGATTTCTCCAGTGATTAGATCAATGTAAACTTGCCACGCAAGAAATAAGCAACAACAAACGAGAGGAATGACAATTGAACGACACTCGTAAAAATATCCATTAAAATGCTGCAGTCTCAGCAGCATATTGGCCTCGTTTTTACTGCAAAAATATAAAACTGATTGTGATCAACGTTGTTCTGAGGAGGGTAGAATAACAGTGCGATAAGATTAGGCCGTGACCTAATGGAAAATTGATGAAATATGCACGTCCAGTAGTAAACAAAACAATGTGAGACTGGCAAAAGTATAGAGGTCTGCTATACATGTATATTTTACGCTAGAAATAATACACCAGGCAGGCTGGAGGATAAGGTTAATTGTTAATTTATATGGGATGTGATGCACCCCACCATGTTCTACAACTGTGCATGCAACGTGGAGAATTGTTCCTCATAAATCGAATCCCGACTCGGCAGGAGGGTGTACGAACCCAAATACCAACCAACATTTGCCTGCCTGGCTAAAAGAAAGAAAGAAATTAAAGAAACGGAGAGGTGATGTTGTTGAAATGCCTCACGGCTCGGCAGGTACAAATCTATGTACTAAACCAATAAGGGTAATTAAGCTGATAAGGTGGGGAGATTAATTCTGGTGCAGTGTTCGTAGAAGATCCCTACATAATTTGGACCTGGTGACACGCATTATAAATAAATGCCCAGACTCGTGTCAGGACCGACGACGTAATGAAACTTTTGTGTCAAGCTGCAATAAAGAAACATTGACCTACATCATATCACGTTGCATTTGGTGAGACCAAGTTGGGTCAGGTGAATGCAATGGAAAGAAATTCAGTAATGGTGAAAGTTTGCAATGGAGCGTTGACGAAATTGCATTGCATTCTTAAAATGCGAGATATAACTTGATATTAAATAGTAAATACAATACAGTTATTTGATAATGACGAAACATGTCCAGACTGGGGCAGCACGAGTATGAAAGCGCAGTATCAACTGCTTAACTTGCATCTAATTTTATGGCTAATCAGTTCATTAGGCCAAGCATAATAAAATTAGTAACCAAATTATGTCAATAATGAAATCTTATTAAAGAAACATTTGAAACTTTCCAGAACAAATAGGAATTTTGATGCTTGAATTTTGGGTGACGTTATATTTATTTAGCACCACAAAATCCGACACGAGTCAAATAAGTAAATCCCAATCTGTCTCTTTTGGTTATGCAAATCTGTACCGACGATAACAGCAGCTTATGTATAATATCTCTTATTTACATCTCTTCTGTATGTACCTACGAACAAATCTATTAAACTGCTCATATTTTTAGTGCCTAATTCAACCATCGGACTTTCAGTCATACACACATCGTAAATACGTGAAACCAGTCACTATTCTTATCAAAACTGTGCATATGTACAATGGCCATCGACTACCATGAACCATTAGCGACTAACCTAACCACCACCACACAACATGCATACAAAGACACTCGAAGACATCTGCATGACCATTGAACTTATCCTTATCCAAATCCATCCACCTGTGCACTTACCAAGTAAATACTATCATTTAGTTATCTATCCCCAACTTGACGTATGCATATTTATGAATATATTCCGACATTTACTTAGCCAAGCGAATACTTGACAAGCATCGCACTACTACTTTGATCATCGAGACAGCAACACAAATTTGTTCTCCAGCTACAGAATTTAGCGTCTGAAATTAAATAAGGGCACATTCATAGAAAATTTCGACATGGCCCCACCACCCCCAAGAGACAGCTATTTCGACTTGTGGTTATCCTTCTGGATGAGCTTTTTGGCCTGGCCGGTTGTCTACGTTTTCAACAATGGGTTTGGGAAGGTCGATGCTGCGGTAAGAATCCTCCTTTTTTATTGAAAAATAAGTAATAACGGGTATGTTTGGCAGCGTTGGAATAAAATCTGCCAATAATTAATGCGGCATTGAATCTTAAAAAAATTGCTACAATCAAGTAATAATGTGTTACCTTTTTCTTACAGCATCGCCCCTTCGTCATGATGACGGCCGGCTTTGGTATGATGGCCGCGATAGGCTGGCTCTGTGCAAAACTTAGCAAGACGACAAGCAGGATAGGAGTTGGTATGTGCAAATCCAAACATTAAACTTTTCTCGAGTAAATCCCAAACCCAAAAGCTAAATCTCGTGCCAAAAACACTTGCCCATTTCCGGACTAATTCTTTATATTCTCATCAATCTCGCATTGCTCTCCCTTCCTCGTTCTCATAGTCTTCATGCTGTTCATCTTCACATGTATGATCGACCTCATCATCGCGCTGGAATACTACGGTCACATCACGGGCTTCATGTGGCGGTATCTGGAACTTGGGGAGCCATACTTGAATTCTCCATGGGGCTCGGCGATCACTTTGTTCGACGGGATTGGTTTATATGTCATGTACCTCGCTATAATTCATCGCATATCGAACAGGTAGACCAAACTTTACTTGTTACTGATAGTGAGGTGCAGACCTAATTAATCCAATTTGCGAATCGTGTCCTTAGAAAAAATTGGCACACGATCGGAATTTACTGGGTGAGTGCGATAATCAACTCGATGATTGTTCTCCTCATGGGAGTCGCCACTGGAAAACATTCCCCCACTTTTTGCACCTTCCTCAACGTTCCATATGTCGTGTTCCCATGTTACGTCCTGTATTAGTAAGAAATTTCTAATATTTTGTACACCGTTTTCAAGCCATATTTATATTTCTTGGTATACAGATTTTTTTTGCAATATATTTAGCTTACTTAAAAAGGATTGTCAGCCGAACTGGAATGAATCTGCTGCTACGACGCCTGGAGAGGAAGAAGAGAAAGTAGAGAAAGTAGAGAAACCAAAGAAAGGAAAGAAAGTAGAGAAAGTAGAGAAAGGAGAGGAAGGAGAGAAAGGAGAGGAAGCCTATCTGCTTTTCGGTCGTAAATGGTTAGCTAAATTTTTCGAGTGGGGCATCGTTATTGGATTTATTTGCACCATTTTGCTCACAATTACGAAAGCATTTGTAAGTTAATATACTTTTATAATACTATCCGTAGTTTTTATGCATTTTTGTTATTTAATTTCCTGAACCAAAACCCCGTGCAATGTATGCAAGCACAATACGCGTCTCACTCTGCCTCACTCCTAAACTGTCCCATTCATTCCTACTAATCCATTACTACGTATCTTGTCAAAGTGAGACACAAATTCCTACCACCCACTCACTCATTAATGATCATAAGTAAAATAACCAAATAATTGTAGTTAAAAAATGATTACCCAATTTGTGACAATAGGTCGAACTAATTAACTAATGACATTTTGTCTTTTTCGCAGTTAAGTCTCGGATCAACGTTCTACATGTTCAGATGGTACACTGCCCACGACCCGTCTCTCATGAATAATAATCCCGCACCATTCGCCAAGATTCAGAGTGTCGTACTTTTCTTCTATTCCCTTCCCATCCAAGTTCTGTGCCTTTTGTACGCGTGTCGGGCAACTAGACCGCAGTACTTGTGGGATTTGGCGGTAGTAAATGCTGGAATTTTTCACCAGGTAAGTTTCACGACTTTCTTTGCATATCTCGTCGTAGAGAAAATTATCTTAAATGACACGTTCGTTAAATTTCTGGATTGAATGTCTTAAGAATTGTGCAACTCAATGCAGTTGTTTAATTTGAGGTTGTTTTCAAGGAGGAAGAAGTGAAGTGAAATTAGTGAACAATTTTGCATACAAGTAACATGAATTTTTGGTTAATGCATATTTTGTTAAATTCACAGGCTATATTTACGTCTATCGTGACAGCCCTGGACAGTAAAGCGCCCGCAGGGTACCAAGCTGACCTTACCGACCCATATTTTTGGATACTCAACATGACGCTTCTAACTGTTCCACATATGTTCCTTGTGTTGTTGTATGAAAGACACCGTCTCCAGGCCCCAGACAAATCTAAACAGAACTGATATTTTGAATCTAGAGGATAATGTAAGGTCATGGTTTGTCATGCGTATGCTAATTTATTATTCATTCGTTATTAATACTAATTTGCATTGTGTGCCTACAAAGGTTTTAAAATATTCAAGTAAATTCTGATAATTTTGACTAGAATTCTGTATGTCAAAAATTTGAATTTTTCTATAATAATCTTTTAATTTAAACTTTTATGATGGAAGACTCCATGAGTTACAAATAATTCTTTAGTTCATGCTATCCATGGACTTCGTTTTAAATTCTGTATAATTCAAGAAATAAATCTTTTGATACAATTTAATCAGGTTTACAGGACCTTAATTTAACTAACATAGTAATTTAGTCCTGCACAGGAAACTACTTTAGCTAGAAGTAGGAGGGGGTAAACGGGGCCCAAAAATAATGGACCCAACACGAACGTTACTACTTCCGAGTTGAATCTGTAAGCGAAAAATACATATTGTAAGCACCAAATTACAAGAAATATTGATCAATAGGAGATGTTTAATAATTGTACCGCTTCCTCATAATCCGCTGACATTCCCATTGATAGCTCCACTGCAGAAATTTTCATGTTGAGTTCGTTGCAAATTTTGGTACGAATATCGGACAACATCTGCAACGACAAAGCAAGATAATCTACAATTAAGAAAATCACAAAATTCTAAATTGTACTCCTTGTACTCACAATAAAATCTTTGTTTGGTTCATGATCATGCTCATAGGCTCCAATTGTCATCAACCCCAAGAAATTAAGTTTCGGACATCGTTCGCCGATATACTGGACCAGTTTTCCACAACTTTCTGGTGGCACTCCGGACTTGGCTATAGGATTCGCACAAACATGTTCATTCATATATGATTCATATTCATTTACTCATCCAAATAATTACATTTTAGAAATGAATATACCTAAAGATGATAATTAATTACTTACTGCTTTCTCCACTTGTGTTAACTTGAACCATAATGTTTAATCGCTCTGTAATTCCTCGTCGTTCACAAGCATCATTTAAATTTTGGGCTAATCCTTCCGAATCGATAGTTTCGACGACAAAGAGCTTTTCCACGACTGAAAGTAACTTAGAAATCTTATTCTTTTGAAGATGGCCGATAAAGTGAAACTTGACATCTGAGCATTCTTGTTGCAGCTATAATCAGTATTGTATTTCATTACAAAAACATGGATGAACAAACTTATACTAAAAAAGTGTGCATGCAATGGCAATCTTCTAGCATTACCTGAGGGTCTGACGCCTTGTCGACTAATTCTTGAACATAGTTCTCCCCAAAATGTTGTTGTCCATCCTTGTAAGCTTGTATAATACATTCCTTAGGTTTGGTCTTACTCACGGCGACAAGTCTTGGAATCGGGAATGCTTGTTGTAACTCCTATAACAAATTATACACCAGTTAAGTATACATTCAGGGTATGTATTACGAGTTCGCATCGTTAGCAAAAAAACAAAGTTCGCAAGTTTGCAAAATATTATGGTTTAAAAATTCATTTGCGAACTTGCGCATCTCTAAGGCTAGTATTTAGTTGGCAATTTAAAAAATGCGAACATACGAACTCGTAATGAATACTCCCATTATTATATTTATAATTTGCCATTTATAAATTGCAAGATCAAGGTTAACTCACCTGAGATCGACAATCTGCAGCCGCTCTGACCAGTTCTCGAACACGATTTAAATTGTACGTGATTGCAGCAAGGTCAGACATTTTGACTACAGTATGTCTCCACAATGTCCATAACATTAAAGATGACACAATCACAATTCACTCATAACAACCGGCATAATTAATTACTGGTCGAGTAATTGGTTAACTTTATGCGTAATCCTTCCTAATGTTCTCACTTGAAAAAGGAATCAGCCACATGCATGTTCCTTTTAATTTGTACTTTTTATAATTGTGACGACTAACTTAAGTTACTTGAAAAACTTCAGCTTAAAACTTGAGTTTAGTAAGTAGGAAACCTTAAATTTCCATCGTTGAGAACACCAGCACATACCCAACCCGGCTGATTTTTGCCTCATTTGGATTTTGTATCCGAATGTTTACGTTTCATAGAAATGAGACGGTCGAGCAATTTTGCATTGTATCGTTATTTACCAGCGAAAGAATGAGTTATAGAATCTATCTGAATAAATAAATTGCATTGGTTGCGTTCTGCATTTCCTTATACTCGCTTCTACATAAATGCCATATATACCAGTTATGTTATTTCATGATAAATTTCCATGCATTTCATGCGTTTTTCATACATTTGAATTTAATCTGTCTGACTTATTGGTTAAGTGGCACCTTTACAGCGGGTCTGTTCTATCTATTAAAACGAAATTAGAATTTTTGGAAAACTTTAAATTTTATGAAAAGATGATGTATAGAATTATATTACACATTCCTTATAGTTACAAGGTCGCTGTAATGCGTATTACATGTACAATAATGTACATTGTGTACCTACTTCTGCCAGGGTGAAAGTCAAAAACAAAAATATTATCAACAATATACAATTCTGTGATTATTATTGACCAGTTTATTTATGTAGTTTCAAAATTATATTCCATTATGTCGTCTGGTCTCCATGGCTGAAAATCGGTTCGTGCGCTGATGCTCTACGATCCGTTAATAAAAGCCTCAATCAATCAACATTATTGTTATGATAAATTCACGAAAACAACACATTTTTGCCCATCATTTATTTCCAACAAATTTATTTCTCGTTTCATATTTCATATTTGACTTAAACGAGTCGTTTTATCAATGCACACTTACAGCCATCAATATATTCATAAAAACCATTCTCAGCTGCACTTGTTTAAATTATCTGTAACCGTATCTGTACATACCTTACAATTGATTTTACATGTTTACACCCATGTTTGGTAGCAAGTTTTTAATAATTTATTACAATAATGTTAGGTGCTCTCTCCAGCTATGAGTTATAGCTCAAGAAGGCGTCTTACCCACTTATGATTAGTACTTAAATAGACATCTTATCATCATTCACCACTATTTTTGTGGACATGTGTAATGTTAAGCACTTATTCGTTTAGTTTAGTATAATTATTTATTTCTCATTTTATCCTCTAACTAATATAAATACATGCACTTATCCTATTTGATTTTTGATTGCATACCAGGGAACAACCGATTTGCTTCGAACCATCCACCCACCCCAGTACATAATAATTTCATTCTGGCTGATCTTATGTATGATTGCAGTATTGAATTGTGACCAATTTGTCGACAACTTTCCATCTTAAAGTAGCAATTTCTCTCTATTTTTTAATAATACATACTCTGGATTAAAAGATGCTTAGATTATAACCTACGGGTTTTTTTCATCTCGACATATTTAGTACTCCTATTATAATAATAGGACTGCTGTATATTTATGTTTTTGCTGACACAAGTTTTCCTGTTCTTGTTCCACAATTTTGTATTATATGTAACAACTTATTTCTCCATTTATTCTTCCGCACAACAGGTTCATATATCGTTATCATGGTCACAAGAGGCAACAGTTTACATACATTTCTATATCTTTAGACGATAAACAATCACGGGGATACATACATTCTAATATAATCTGCGGGAGGGACCAATTAGATTTATCTTAATTACTTGATTCACCTCATTTTAACTCTTTTGTCTTAACCTCAATCAAATTAATTGTGTGGTGGACTGTCTTTCACATGTTTTTGGCGTCGAAACAGGAAAAAAGTTGTCAAATCCATAAATAAAATGAAATCATAAATTAATTTTAGACAGTTTTAAGTAAGATGCTAAGTTTTTTTACAGGTACTATCATCAAATATGTGTACTACATACTACATTTTGCCAATTCGCTCATTTCGATTTAAATTCAAATTTGCAAACTATATCAGAATATGTATATATTGCTTACTATGGGGATGCATGGGACAAACATGACTTATTGATAACTAACTTGATGTGCAATAATACGAAAAGATGACACCTAATAATAATCAATTTGGACAATAAAGTCAGAAATTGTTGTAAACCAATAAGTCGTGTAATTTAATCTAATTAATGTTTACTAAAGTTTATCGCTTGTCGTCCGGCACCATTTCTATTTCTGGTAATTTACAGACAACACAGGGTTACATTTCACGACGACGACTCATTTTATTCACACATAACCATCATTCACATGCTATAGTCTATAGTCCATATCGTTTTTGTGTTTGTCAGCTTCGCCGTTCAACGGAAACTGCACAACTGAAGATGAGTGTAACATTTTCTATATCAGGATAAGAAGGTGTTAAAAAATAATTGGAAATTGTAAACGAAAAGATTTAATAGTTCATAGGATTTTTCAGATTTTTTACATTTCGTCCACTGAAATTTTTCTAACACATTAAAATGACTCCTGGTGACAATTAACTAAATTAAAACTAAATTCTATTGTTATTAAAACACATAAGTATTTTTTTAGTAGACATTTTTTAATACATAGAAAACTGACTCATCACAAATTTCGAAATGAGCAACCCTTTGTTGGTTTTTTATAAATATAAATATAAAACTAGAGACGCGACGAGGACATCATCATCGTCTCTCACGGTGAAAAGTTTTTTTTCTTTTTACACACAACAAATTTTGGTGTGGAAAACAAATAGAAAACGACTGCGAAGCAACTCGCTGTCTCAGCGAACGTACACGATCATCATCGAGGACATAAGGATTGTCGTGAGGAGAACAAAGGAGATTTGTATGTGGTGACGTCTTCATCTTGAAATTTATTCATACTTGAAATTGCTGCATGGGGTAGGCCGCAGCAGCTGCCATCAATGGACCACCGGCGTTCGGCTGTTGTAAGACTGCTGCCGTGGCTGCAGCATTCTGAGCTCCTGTCATTTGTGGTGTGGCGGCCGACCCACAGCCCAAGCCTTGGCCCCAAGAGGTGACGCCTTGCATGCCGCCAACGTTTCTGGACAAGTGAAAAGACGAGAATTAGTTCAGTGGTGACAGAAAATTAAAAGTTATCTTTTAATTTAAACTCACCCCATGTAAGCCCCTTGCTGGTAGCCAAAGTTTCCATACGTGGAGTAGCCTTGCATTCCCTGCAGAAACTGATTTTGCATTTGTGCAGCAGCCGGATATCCCTGCGGATACCAGTACCCCATCTGCTGGCCGTACGCGTATGGATATTGCGACGCTCCAGCCGCAGCAATGGATCCGTACCCAAACTGGAAAGATAGATGCCTTGACTGAACACATTTCTAACAAGTGAAGAACATGAGGATATTTTGAGACAAATTACGTTTGAAACTTGGTTGGATACATTGGCCGGATCTCCAGCTTCCTTTCCCCATGAACATTTCACAGTTTGTCCGTTTATCTCGGTGTTGTGTACGGCAACAATAGCGTGAGTGGCGGACTCCTTGGTACCAAATCTGGAGAAAGTACATACACCAGACATGAGAAAGTGTGAGATATTTAAGGATTCAGATCAGATGAGAAGGATGAATGATACGATGGTTGGGTTGTTGGGCAACACAATAATTGGTGAGGAGTATGTAACTGATATACTATGTGTGATGTAAGGGCTGATGTGTGAGTGGTCTGCATACCTGATGAAGGCATAGCCTTTATCCTTGAACACTCTGATCTCTTGAATCTGACCGAATGGAGCGAATGTTTTTTGCATCAACTCTTCAGATAAGCCGTTGGTGATTCCTCCACAGTAGACGGTGCAGTTGGTAGGGCTGGACTGGTTGTAGACCTCGTCAAACGTTAATTGCTTTGAATTTCCTCCTGAAACATAAACCAAGGATTGCAGGACTGAATAATAATAATAATAATCATAATACTCATCCTAATGCAACAACACAACATCTTATTACCCGTCTGCCTTGGGTATACCACAACACACGGCGTACGTTCTTTCTTTCTGCTTAGTTGAGTCCCTGTTGACCTGTCTGCCTGGCGGAAACAAAGCTATCATTACGGATAATTGGAGTCTAATGTGACCCACCGCACGTGCACTTTTTCCCTGTTACGCCATTACCTCCAAACAACAAGCAAAGTACGTAAACGAAGACATCGATCCGAAGCAGGGAAGGTGAGTTGATAACTGTACCTACTATGCTAATTTATCCTTGAACTCTGACTCCCCGAGGGTAAATAACGCCACTGCGATAACAACCCACCCCATCTTCTCAGACGACAAGACACAAACATGGCTAAAAAAGAGGAGGAAAGTAGTCTAGTGGGGTCCGTGAGGAGGGGGAGGAGGAGGGAAATGGGAAGACAAATCTGCATTTGAATAGCCAAAAAGTCAAGCCGAGTTGTATCGATTTTGGTGCGAGCGGAAATTCGTTACTTGAAAGTATAGCAAATGGCCAGATCCACGCAAACACAATGTCATGTGCAATTTATTGTTGAAATATTGTTCCACTTCATGGTTTAGGTTGGTGGGCTACGAAGAAGTAGCAAGACTACGAGAGTAACGCTGTTCCTTAGAGTACCATCATCACCTCCAACAAAATCATCCCTTTACAAGAGCTACTCACGGCGACACTCCACTGGGCCTTTTCTTTCCAATTACCACTTCCCAACTCCTCTCTCCCGTCAGCTATAAAAATACCCCACCAACTTTAACCCAACCAAACTTTTAATGCCCCCACAATGCACCTACATAAAGATTGATAACTTTCTCGCCTGCATCCCAATTTGTCCACACCTGTCCTTTCCCCACATCCAACGACAACTACCACACCTTCCCGTCTCCTAGTGAAACGAGAGACCAAGACAATTGAGAAAGGTTGCAACATCCCCGACACGAATGTAATCTGTATTGAAAAATCTAATAAGCGTGCACAAAGGTAAAGACGGGATTTGTTGGGGTTCGGCAGATTATGGGATGTCATCTAACGAAATGGGATGGGGTATATGGGTGACTAATAGATAATAAGCCCTCAACATCACGATTTAATATTATCAGTACTACCACCACACTACTATTACCAGGTAGTAAATTATAGCAAAAGGACGACGACGGCGGCGGCGACGAGTCATTACACAACGATATGAATTTCAATGAAATTTCAACATGTAGACAAACTGCTACGTTGTTACATCAGCATCATCATCGAATCGTAGCAAACCTTGAGCTTTGGATCTTTCGGAAGCAATAGGATCGAGCGTTGAGTTGTAAATCACAGCCACCTCATCACCCTTTCTCCCTTGGCAATGGGACATAATCAGAAGCAATTAGCATTTTACAGGAGTAGCAATCAGCAAAATGGCGGAGAATTAATTCTATCCCGTTGAATGGGTTGATTCTATCCACGCACAAACTAATCAGTGCTGCATCCTGTGCAGAGCAGTGTGTGTCGTGTGAGAGAGACGAGTGTATATTGCCTGACTAAGCTTATAAATAAATTTTGAGTATTTTAAGCGACTTGGAAAATGTCACCCTTCTTCTTCCACCGACTTAGGCCCACAATCCGATTACGAATCTTCTTGGAATGTAAATGGAAACGCGGCTTTTCCTCCACCAACTTCTTCCTCTTCTGTTCCATGACGTTTTACTTCCTGCTCCAGACCAAAACCCAGCAATACGGGGAGGGCGAGAGGGAAAGAGATGAGGCCTGAATGGCTGGGTTGGTGGTGTCTGTATCATTCACACTTTCTCCGTCTCAAATTCAGCCACAATAATAAGCAATGTATATTTCACGTCGAGTCGACAAGCGAAGAAGTGTGTGGGACCAAATTTCTGGGGAAAGCAGTCATCGTTTCTTCCTCCTCATGACCAGTTCTTCATTTTCACCTAGATTTCTCATCCCCTCCGCCTCCTTCCCTCTCGTCTATCCATCTATCCACTTATTCCTCTCTTTGCCGGGAGTAGTAGTGACACTACTCCCAATAATACTTCCCAGCTTAGCTATCACCTCCGTGCAGAAGGCTTTCTCCAATCAGATGTCAACTTCAATTTCACTCAAATCTGTCTTCGATATTGGCTTCGTGGCAGGATTTTCATGGGGCGTTCTAGAAAATCGCTACGAACAATCTAAATCAAGCTCACTGACAGCAACATGACAGTTGTTGGACCGGGATGCATCCGGGCATGTAAATAAATATATTTATTACGCAATTGTGACAGCATGCAGGGGATACCAATCTGTGGAATACATACATATTTACGTACACCACACCTCCCACCAAAATAAACCGATGACCATTTCGGGAATGAATGCCAACTCGCCTAATTTAATGTTGCACGCTGGGTCCAAGCGATCAAAATGTGGCCAATCCTTACATTCCGCCAAATCCAGTCTAGTGAGATTTCTTAAAAAATCAAGTAAAAATTCCAGTCTCTAACAAAGAAAGGATTAACTGCTATAACCTGCTCCAGGCCGAGAAATTTAACCTAAAAAAGGTTTAGCTATTTTCTAAGGTGCATCAAAAATTAAATTTTCAAAAATTTGATAAGTAAAAATAACGTGTTATTTACCTAAATAAAAACACGCTAAAACTTTGACCTTTAATTTCTATGTCTGGAGCAGATTGCATATAGCAGCTAATTCTTTCTCGCTTTAATCTAGATTTTTTATGATATCTCACTGGACTGGATTCGGCTGGATAATTTAAGATTGCTCGTGGCCACATTTTCACTGTTTGTGCCCAGTGTGCGTTGGGGCGAAATTTACAGAAATTTATTTACTACTCGGATTTCGTTGCTCAATTTTCCGATCCATTTTAGGATAATTCTAACCCAATGTTTTCGACTGCATTGGAGAAATTGCGTCAAAAATCGCCCATGCCGCAGCCTTCATCTCGTTATTGCATAACAAACTCTGACTGCTTTCATCAAACGGATGAATACTTTGCAGTAAAAAAAAGACCACGAAATATGCGCAAAAAATCCACGAGGAAAATTTAACATCAATTCTTGCTTCTGCATTCTCCTTCTGCCATCAGCAGCTAAACTAAAAAAATACACTTGCTGCGAGACGACTTATACTTGTGTTAGTTTGTTGGTAATACAGTCTCTACAAGTTTTTGGTGCATATTTTATACTGAAAAACTGTCGAGTCATTTATCATCGTCTGAAGAGAGAGAGAGAAAGAGCGAGGAAAAGAGGGAGAGACAAGTTTCACAATTTCCAGTTTCATACTATATGCATTCCACATAAACACGCACTCAATACAAATTTGGTTGAATCAGCTCATTCTTCATTGGAAGTGGGTGAAAGTGGTGGCATCCACTCCTACTCTTGAAGATATATTTATTGTACTAGCGGTGGTGCTGGTACAATGGGCACTGCTGATCCCACCAACACCACTACAACATCTTACTTCTCGACTCCTCACAAATCTCCCAATCCGAGTCAGACCTCAGTCGGATAGACACACCCACCCTGAAATTGTCAGCGAAATTGAAATTGGTGACGGACAAATGGATGGGGAGAAAGTGGGGCAGTGTAAATTGAAGGGTAGGACACTATTATTAGGACAGATTCCTCCCTGTCCATCATGTTAACATGAATGAGGAGGAATTGCACATGCTTGTTGTGTGAGATGAGGACTGATGTGTATGTGTAACTATGTATGCCTGGTGTTAAAAGATTCAAACAAGGGAAGAAGTGAGAGAGAATAAAAAGCAGTTGGCTGGGACATGTAGAGAATCCAAAAGTGGAACCATGTGAAACAAATGAATAATTCATCCTTGGCAAAGTCAACTCCTCGTACGGAGAAAGAGAGAGAAAGTGTCAAGAAGTAATCATGGACGGCTATGCGGCAACATTTCCCTACATCCGCCCGTCTCCTCAGTAGTCAGAGGAAAAGTGGTCGTGGTGGTAAGTATGCACACAACGACACAACCAATTCACATCATCAACACGACTGACCGACCGGATGCAGGAGAAACAAGTAAATATTATTCCACACGACACGGCAGCCCATCGTGAACAATTGGAAGAGTTGATGCTTTTCGAAGATTGCCAAATTTAAATTAAGATGCCCCACGACTCTTCGATACTGAATATTTCAAACGCAAACTTGATAATGAGGAGGGAGCATTCCCGACATTTTAATGTGGAGGAGGACAAAAAGAATTTGTCGAGTGAGGGCATGTTGTTGGAGTGAAATTGACATTTGCAAGGGGCGGAAGTTAGCAGATACGTACGTAGAGTCGTAGAGTCGTAGAGCAAGTCTGGCTGTTATGCAAGTGAGTGTTGTGAGGGGGAAAGTAGGAGAGAGAGAGAGGGAATATTATGTAAAATCGGCATGGAGTACGGAATTGAAATGCAAGACCGGTCTGAGAGAAAAGTCTTAATACACAAGTCGTGTTAATGTTGGAGTGAGATCCGAGTGATTAGAGTCCAAGGGGCAAGATTGCATTTAATTGAGCTGACGGGGCTTATTAATATGGAAAGTGTGTAGTTGGTGCATACTCAGGAGTCGGGATAAATCAGGCCCACCAACCGACCAATTTGGGTCTTGTGCCAGCAACAGCCTTGGTTTTTCATGCTTTTCTCGGACTCGACTCTTTTACTGTTCTCATTGATTGGACGTGTTTGCGTGTTTCTAAAAATGAATTGTGTTGCAAGGAGCGTTCTCTCTCAGCGCCCTGCTTCCTTCGTACGTACGTATTATCTCAGACATGCATGATTTTGCTGTTGCACACATAAACAGCGAATGGGCGATGGTGGACTCTGTGGAGGCAAACTTTCTCCAAAGGACGACGAGGTGGAGGAGGATGTAGTCTGGCGAACAGAATATCGCACTTAAAGGATATGCCGGGCCATGAAATGCCTGTCGTTGTGCTCCTGATTTATAACAGCTCAACAAAGAGAAGGCAGACAATGCGTCCATTGATTTAACTTGTTCCACTCTCTTCCCATTCCTCTGCACCCACTTCTTCTCCTCCTGGTGGACCTTGGTGGACCTTTCTCTCCTTCCTCCTCCTCCTGTCTATTCAAAAGGTGATGTGGCGTATCATTACGACATGGCCACCACCACACTCACTTCCTCTTCCATTTATTACCCAGCAGATATTACTACTTACTACTTGACAACACGACACACTAGTTGATGCCAACAATGGGCAAGGAGAGAGAGAGAGGAAAAAAAGTGTCAAGCTTACCTTCAGCTTTTGGTGGAGGTGGCTTTCTCGTCGCCCAGTTGGTTCGGATGCTCCGGTTCCCAAGCCACTGTCCGTTCATGGCGGTGATGGCGGATTCAGCCTCCTGTATGGTAGTTAAAAATGAGGAGGTGAATGAGAACCCGGCGTGGTAGGCAGACACACACAAATAGAAAAGACAGACTGTATATAAGGACCACACTTTCAAAACTTGTAAAAAGAGAAAAGTAGTGCAAATGGCTCTAAAGAGTATAATAGAGATGGTAGTATAAGAGTAGAAAATAGTTGAAATGGCAAAGAGATGGAAAACTGTACTGGTGACAATATGGTAGTAGAAGAAGTAGAATGCGGTAGTAGTAAGTATTTAGAAAGTAGAGATAATAATAAAGACAAAAAGAAGAAGCGCTCCGACACTTACCGTCTTCTTGACGAACGACACGAAGCCGTATCCTTTAGGAAAAAGTAAAAAACTATTATAATACAATTTTAAACAGAGCAGTGACCAAGGTGTCGGTTAGTCAGTGCTCTGTCGGTATTCGCAAACCTACCGTTGCCCTATTTTTTTACGCAATAGTTCTTTTTTTGATGCAGCTCTCACTCTTTTCCTCACTTTACATGGTCGCCTCTCCTCCATCGACTCACTCCAGATCGAATGGAAAACAACACGGATTTGTTGTAAAGCTTTGTTAATTAACTAGTTGTGAGTGTATCCACCCGCCCCCGTCAATAGGGGAGGAGGAAATTGCGACTTTTTTGTTTTTTGTTACTGCATAAACATTTAACATGAAAGCTTAGAAATTCTCTAAAACAAGTCTCTCTAACAAATATCGGCATTACTTCCTACTCTGAAATCGAGAAGATATAAACACGTGCATCCTTCCAAGCTATTGAATGAAATGCATAAGTTGCATAAAAACTGTACAAAAAATTTTGAAGGGAAGAACTTGAGGTGGGAAAATGTTTAAAACTTTGAATGAGATTAGATTACAAATTTTATTTTGATTTGAGAAGCCAATTGCTAGAAGCATGGAGCTGAGTTAGTTTCTTCACAAATCCGATGGGCGTAGACGTAATAATTTTATCGCAGGTTAACGAAGAACTCTTATGCAGTATTGTGGAGTGATAATATGTCTGGCTGAAGTGTCACGAAGGACTTGAGTCATCTTGACGATTTCAAAGAACAATTTGAAACAAAGGGACTCTAAATTCATTGAGATGAAGGATTTACAGTCAAACTTTGGCACAATCAGAGGAAGATTACACGTCCGTAAAGCAAAACCACAACATTTTCAACTTCCGGAGTCACAATTTCCCCCAACCGGAAGCAATAATCAACAAGAATAAATTGTCAGGGGCATGCATGTTAAGTAGTTAAATCGACAGGTGGACGCCATTCTCCATAGCGAATCGTCATGAGTTGTTTCTAGCAGAAAACTCTTCCGGGATGATTGATAACTCCAATTTTACAGTCGCTGAGCTGGGCAAAACATTTTCGCAACTTGGCCACCCTCTAATTACATAGAAACGAGTAGACATATGTATTTTAATCGAGCTTAGTGCACCCTGCCTTTCATATTCAATTACATTTTACTTAATGCTAACTTTTTTCTGCGAGGAATAAGAGTGAGAGTTGTTTAACTTTATCTCGTTAAAATAAAAAGTATTTTTTAAAACAAGTTAAGAATACGTAATTACCTTTACTTTTCAGAGTTTGCGGATCCCTTACCTGGTAGTATTGAGAGCAGGTATTATATATAAATGTTATATGCAAGGGAGGAAAATAAAGAGAGGGTGCGAGTGATAGCCACCCTACTTACCACCCTACAGTCGCTATATCCCATCAAGTAAAAAGAAAAGCATTGACCCCGTCATGTAAAAAAAGAAAGAAAAAGATTTACACACAGTTTTCATATCATCTCGTTTTTCACTTCAGTTAGTCGAATTAAATAACATGGATTTTAATGCGGAAAGCACTTCTCCACAACATTTAAAACTGATAACTAATAACTGAGATTCTTCCAGGAGAAATTTGTCAACGTGACCTGCCATTACACACACAAGAGCTAAGGTGAAAGCAGGGTCAAAGTTTCTTGCAAGATTTTTGGAACAGAATATTTACAGTGTCACCGCTGGGGTAAGGACAGAACAGAACCGACATTTTCCATTAAATAATCCAAAAGTGGTTGGCTTCGCGTGCAGGGCGCAAGAATGCAATGGATAGGTTTCCGACATATTCTAATAGATCACGGTGAAAGCATTGATAAAAATATTGGGGTTTATCCTATCTTTTTTGTTTTCAGACATTTTTTTGACAAAGTGATGCAACCAAACCACCCACACGGAAACTTTTGTTTGAAGGAATCACACAGAAATTACGGGAGAAAAAATGCATACAGAACTTTTAGCGACATCCCCAACGATGGTGAAAGGGATGTTGAACCTCATTTAAGGTCGAAAAGGTTATGCACAGAAATATCATGTAAGAATGTTATAGCATTTTAATACACCGAATCTCAATGAAATTTTTGTTGTTTTAAGCTAAAACCAGTTTTGCATAAAAAGCAACTGCGCACATGAAGGTGAGTCGTTTACTTTGAAACAAATTTCAGCGCTGATAATACTATATTTTTTTAAGCTCTTGTCAATCTGTAACTAGTTGCTTTATTGTCTAGTTTGAGCTGTTTTGTTTTTTTACACTGGTCGCAATGTATTGAAAAGAATGACAAAGCTTGCAGATATTTATTATGGAATAGTCAATAGTCAGAATTATAATTACAATATTTTCTTTAAAATTCCTGCCAACTTTATACTGCGATTTAAACTAATAACGTTATAACCACGTCTGGGAAACGCAAAAAATTCTCTGATAGAAATAAATGTTTCTATTTGTGGTACAACTTAACTTTAATTTCTTGGTTAATATATGCGAATTAATAATTACAGTGTAGAGAATTAATACCTACAGATTTGACAAAGGAGACCTCGTCAAACTTCTCACTGGGAATATTTCTAATCATGTGAGGTGACCAAAATCAATGACAAAAAACTAAGAAAAAAATATGTACCTTGCAACCCTACAGTCTCTGCAAAATTCACTCAAAGAAGGTAAAATTAATGAAGCTGTTCAACAAAATCACGTCACTTTTGCTACTAAGGCCTCTCACACAACAAGAGCAGAGCAAAGCAGCATCCGTCGGACCAATTCAATTCCGTCCCACCCACCAAGCAACCCCCTCCCTCCCTGCTGCCACTCTGGTTAGTTAATAGTAATAGGACTACTGTCACGGTGCAACTAATGCAACCAGACAAATGTCCTCCTCTCTCAGTTCAGTATTACACGAAGCAAAGCAGGACACAGGTAAAGCGTTCAGGTGCTGCTGCTATGTATTTACACATGTATCATGCCTATAGCGAAAATGACCTCTAACTTTCTCTCTTTGATTCCTGTCCCAGCCAGCCAAACAGCAGAGAGACCTTGTTAATATCTTCTCCTGCTTCCACCACCACGCGGACTATCAGTCTCCCATAAAACCCTAAAATAAAGCCTCCTCCTGACCCTGCACCATCAATCTGAACCGTAAAGCTGAAGCAATTCTACTTGTTCTTGGGGACATGTAATATCCACACCAAAAGTCGAAAACCTTCTTCTTCTTCCCCGGTAATAAGTAACATCAAGGATGCACAAAAGGAAACATTTTCATAATTGATGTCGTCTCTGCCTGTCTCTCTCTCCCTACTTGACGACTTAGGGTGGGATACACACAGGCGAGGAGATTAAGCCACTCAGTTGTTCATTTCACGGTAGGTACGTAAAGTGTATCTGCATGCAACAAGATAATTTCAGATTGCTTTGCATGGAGAGTAGCAGAGAGAGAGAGACGTATACTTGATTTGATAAGCGGAGGATAGCTCGGGGAGATTGTAGTCTCAGTCTCATTCATTCATAAGTGAGCCAAGAAACAAAAGTTGTTCTTCGCATATCTTGCCATCTCCGATTGCAGATAACTTTTCCTCCATTTTCATCTCATACGAGGCAAATATGAATGCTGCTGTGCTGCCTCAGAGATGAATTACATTATTATTAGCAGCATAGCAAAATGTAAAGCATGGATTCCTGCATATTTATGCATACACCTCACAGCGCAGTGTGTATGTAATCTATGCATATGCTGAAATTATGCTTGTCTCAACATACCCCGACTTCACTTGGGAATTAATTTTCTCATATTTTTTTTAGGAAACCGTACTAAATTTTGAGACTACATCCTCCCCAAAATATGTTCAACTGCAGACAAGCTATAAAAATTAACTTGTTAGTGCCTCCGTATAGAAGCATCACCACCAACGGAACGTAAAGAATGGATGGATGATGAGCTTCTCCTCTGCTCTGGTTTTATCTATCCATCTGCGAAGGAGGAGGAGGAGGAGGACGGCTATCTGTGTCCGTATGGATGATGGCAAAGTGAGTGAGGTTAGGCTGGCTGGGAGAAAACAGGAAATGGACTGGAGAGAGAATAAAAGAAAGTGTAGTATAAGTAATGAGGAAGAAGAATTGGATGAGCAACGCGCAAGAGATGGATAATGGCATCATGTATCCGATTTCTTATTATCATAAAAGAGACAGAAGAAGAGCGAGTAAGGGAATCAAGTCAAGAAGACTGAGGGAAAGAACGGGCAACGGGAAAGAGACGACACTACAACTTCTACCAGAGAGTCGACGGAATTGACATTTTTCATTCCAGACTAATTCGAGGCGACATGAATGGAATGTTCGTCCTTAGTAGTTGGGTAAACTGATAAAACAAAGAGAGAGAGAATAGATGGTCTACAATTCAATCTAAAAATTGCTTCTAAATTTCATTCAACTTTCCGCAAGAGGCATTGCATCCTCTCCTCCAACGACACAAATCTCCTCGCCAATACAATATGCCAACCAACCAAACCGCACATATATTCACGATAACACACATATTCCTCCACATCCCACTCGCCATAATACATCATAAAGGCTGAGAGAGTAATTCCCCTCGCGACCACTACACCACATATCGTGCAATACAATCAAGGAGACAATTTTAGACCTAAAATTCCACATCCCATTTTTCCTTTTAATCCCATTCCCCGCTTAATCGACAGTTTCCTTTCCCATGCAAACTGACTGCTCGGAATTAGACGAGAGACGAGTGGACATCTTATTACTACATGAATGAGCCACGTTTAATTGTAGGCTCATTTTCTTTTCGATCAACCTAATCTTCTTGGCTCGAGATGCGAAATCTCAATGCGATGCGAAATCAAGCGAAATCTCGCAAAGTACTACAAAAGTAGTTTTATGTGTGTGCATGCCGTTTTACTCGAGACTTGTTCTGCTGGTTTGAATTTGTATGTAAAGGATAAATCTGAACCTTAAAAAGTGGCCCTGAATTTAATTAAGACAAGTTTTGATTACACGAGCGATTAAGTAGTTGGAGAGAGAAAGTGTTTGGAGATAAGGAAGTAGAAAGTAGTCGGAAGAAGTTGGTTGGAGGGGGTGGATGGTGGTGGTGGTGGTGGTTGGTTGGAGTGTTTGCGATGCTGATGAGATCAGAGGGCAGATGAGTGAAATGGATACATACGCGAAATTGTGAGAAGGGGCATGTGCACAATAATTCCAGCAGTGGAGGAGCAACAAAGGAACGAGAATAAGCAAGTACAGAAGGTAGCTAATAAAAAAGGAGGAGGAGGAAGAAGAAGAAGAGAGAACACGGCTGCAGGCTTCTTGGGGTTCGAGATTGATATATGAATTATAGATAATATCGCGTTTCATTATGTTCTCACAGCATTGCATATCAAGTTGCCGAATCTCTTGAGATTATCCCAATGTGCTCAGCAGCCTGTGCTCACAACAAGTATACATATAAGTACGTCTGCTGCTGCTGCTGTTACCCACCCACCATCACACCATACCACTTTATTCTGTTGGATCTTTTCGTAAAAAGCAGGGCAAGGAGTTTTCGTGTCCCCAGAGTACCCACAATTCCCTCTCGGACAGCTCTTTTGCTTCTTTTTGCCTTTCCAAGCAATGCAAGAGACCCGTCAACGTAAAGAAAATGGCATATGACTCCAAAGACATCCACGCTCCACACATGACCACCACGAGTTGTAGTCACCCCTCCTCCTGTTCCTTTGACTCCATTTATTGCCTTGGAGAATTTCCTCCACTCTCCGCCTAATGGATTTCTCTGTGAGTCCGACGACCAACAACCAAGTAGTCACACAAGAAGCAAGGACCAAAACAATTCACGTCCTGTCACCACCACCACCGCCGACATCGCCGGCTTGTGGTGGCCGACTCTCTCTCAGCCACGCTTGACTGAAGGCTTGTCCACCATGCACCCTCGACCTTCACGTGGCGCAAGTTAAGGATAAGCACAAGGGTGGATGATGCCCCAACACCAAACACACAAAAACCAGGCATGGTGAAAAAGTCGATGCTGCTGCAAGAGCACGATTTTCCCTGCTACTTGTTCCATTTCCTTCCCAGTAGATCAAAACACCAGAGATGAGATGAGAGAGAGAGAACATGAGGAAGAATTCCGGTCCGCTCCAATGCAGGTTTAAACGCCAGTGTAATATTCTCTTTAAAGCCAATACGTGCACAAATACGGTCCGGAGAGGATTCACTTTCACTGTTACGACTAATTGGAGTTGGAGAAGCTGTAGAATTATTCAAAGGCATCCATCTCCTCTTAAACGTCTGCTTTCACTCTGCCAGCCGACGTAGAATAATAAGAACACACCAGCCAGCAGCACCATCAAAGCTCTCACTCCCTCTCTCCCCCTATATTTCT